GCATTCTAATCATTTCCTGCATTATCAGTAGCAGCATTTGCAGTATAATAAGCTTATTGTCATTTATTAGCATTTCCTTTAAGAAAAGCTAACATGATTTTTCTCTGTTTGGCAAGACTTCAGCTATTAGCAGTTGAAGTTTTTTCAAAGTCAGAAATCCAGACTAAAGGGTCTTGAGTTCCATCTCTATAAAAAGGTTTAATGTAAACAACATTTTTATCTTTTTCATTTTCTTTTAGATAATTAAGAATATCAGCTGCATTAGTCATGATATTTTGGTTTTGTTAGTTAGATAAAAGATTAAATATATAGTATTGAAGAATAAAAAGTATTTCAAAAGAGTCACTATAATCTTCAAAGTCAAGATGATAAGGAGATTCTAAATTTTCTTCTCTTAATATAAAAGGGTTCTTTTGATAACAATTTGTATAGACAGCTAAAGATGCTATACTTTTAATAATATCAAGAATATTTCCAGAAGAACTAGAATATTTAAAACTAAAAATAAGTTTGAAGATAGTGTTTTTTAATTGAGGTAAGTTGAGTTGGATATATATTTGTTTAATCTGGTTAAAATATTCTATAGATTTGGCAGAGAAGTCACAAGTAGAATATTGTCTAATGTATTAGAAATAAAAGTTTAAAATCAGAAGGTACAGTTGTAGTTATAGGATAACAAATTTCATAAGAATTGTCTGGTTTAGTGATAGGTAGTTGAGTGATATGTTCTTGAGTATATATAAATACTTTTAATAAATATCTTTCAAAGTTAAATTGCATATAGTATTAATTTAGAAGCCGTTTGTTACAATACAAATACTTATGCTTTCATTTCTAAATTCTAATTTTTAGAAATTGACAAATATCTCTTTAATTTACTATAATAATAGAATTTGTCATTTAAGAGAAAATTGTAAAGGGAGTCCTTCTGGTCCTAAAGAAGGTCAAAACACTAAAATCAGTTTAGTGATTGTTGAGATTTGGAGTTAGCGTAATGATAGTCAGAATATTTCTTCAAGAAGAATTTCTTGCAATTTCTTTGTAGATCAAAAATACTGTCACTAATTTGATGTTGAATAGCAGATTCTAGAGAGAATTTCTCACTAAGATATGCTTAGTAGAAAAGATGCAGTAGCTTTTCAAGTGTATACACTTCAAATTTAGGTCAAACAGACCAATATTAACAGAGTTTTCTTATGCTAACTAAAATCAATTATCTTTAATAAATTGAGAACTTATCTTACAGTTATCACCAAAATGTTAACCTGTAGTTTTTCCTTTAACTATAGTAATAATAGAAGTTGCTCAACTATAGTATGATGACTATAACTTGACAGATTCTATACAAAAGTCTACACAAGACTTAACAAAATACAGAATGATTTGGGATTTTAAAGCAGAGCCAACAATAAATAGTATATGAAGATACTAAATATTACATTTAGTTTATTAATTATAAAATGTATAAAGACACTTAACTTTTTTAAAGGGTCAGAAAGTAGTGCTTTTATAGATATTTTATATGTATAAATAATTACAACAAGACTACTTTATTGCTAATAAATGCTATTTATAGTAATAAGAACTAATAGATATAATAGATATAATATATATAATAGATATAGTAGATATAATAGAAATAATAGATATAATAGAACTAATAGATCTTGTAGAAATGATAGATCTAATAGAAATGATAAATCTACTAGAAATGATAGAAATACTAGAAATGATAGATTTCTGGCACAGTAATTTGGACCAATCAGAATCAAGACACATGTATTATAATTAGTACTTTTCATCAAAATCATTCTGATCTCATGATCATGTGATCAGAATCATATGATCTTGTGCTCATTAGAATTGTCTCAATGAGCTGAATTCAATAGTGATTGTTTTATCCAAATTGGTTTTGTACATCAAAAGTTATGTTCAAAAATGTGTAAAACTCTTAATGTTAATACTACTATATTAGCTTCTCTACTGTTCTAGTGCGCCTAGGTTCTAACTGACTGTCAGATTGCAAATTTCAGGGTCACATGTCATGAAATTACAATTCAGAATAATTATATATGTAAGTTTATTTAACAATAGGGTCAATTACCAACTTAATCAGTTTATTAATTCTGTATAAAAGGGGTCGATTACTAATATGATCTTTCTTTTTACTTTAGTGAATTATTGATAACAGGTTTTTACTAATCATGGGAACAAGATAAATACAATAAAACAAAGGCTATAAGTGTATAGGGTACTTAAAGAACTACTACTATTATTACTTTCATAGTTTTGAACTCAAGAGAGAGTTATTTTTATTTTTGTATGAAACTTCGAGTCTTTAAATATATTTTCATTTTATAGAACTTTACTGATATATCTGCTTTTTCAATATTACTATCATTACTACTAGTACTTATGCAACTACCATTACTACTATTATTAGCAGATCTGTCAGTTTTGGTAGTTTGTAGCTATTTTTGGCTAGATCAATCCGAACCACTTCGTCAACGATCTTTGATGAATTTTTCCTTTTACAATTCTTCTGACCTTGTTTTTGAGTTTTATAAAAATAACAAATACTAAGAACTCAAGGAAAAGGCACAAAGCTAGAAAAGAAAAAATAAAAAAATAATCAAGAAAAAAAAAAAATTTTTGTTTTTTTTTTTTTTTTTAGACCAAATCATTATAGTTGTTTTTTTTGTAATTATCTTTAGTGCTCTTTATCATGAAAGTAATCGAGTCTGTGGTTAGAGCAATTTGTATCAGTCATTGATAATTGCAGAGTGGAAGGTTAGCAATTTTGGACAGACTCATGTAAGTAGCATATTAAATCTGTTTAACACCACAAAATTCGAACAAGTTATATGTGCAGATGATGGCAGTATAGTAATGTTTAGTTATTTTGGTTTTTTGTAGAATTTGCTATGCTGGTGTTAATTGCTCAATCAAAGCACCAAGTAATATGCATAGGTTAAGGCACAAATATGGTTTCCTGAGCATTTGGACTGTAACAAGGACTGAAAGGTTAGATTCAATTTTATTTCAGTAGTTTCTGATTTAGCATATAGTAGTAGATAGGGAATTACCATTGTTGGTTGTGTGCCAATAGGTTATTAATGAGTAGATTAATATCTGCAAACATTCTGCTCCTTGGATTGTGGCCTCCATTTGTTTAATGTGTATTTATTTATATCTTGTTGGTCATAATAGCTTTTTAGTAGCTTTTTATTAAGGGGGTTTACTATTACTTTTCCTTATAATGTTCTTAGTTTATATATGCCATTTCCAAGAACATTATATATGTAATAAAGGCCTTTTTATTGTGGGACTAGCTTATGGCTTCATGTTCCTATTGTTCTTGCATTATAAGCTCATACCTTATCTCTTATTGAGAAGTCAGATGTTTCTTATTTTTTAGTCATGTACAATCTTTTTCTTTTGCTAATTTTCACAAATTTGATTTATGGCTTGGTCATAAGCTTTTGGTAGATCATGTTCTAAATTGTTGATCCTTTGTATGAACATATTATTTAACAACTTGCCTGACATACTGGGATGTCTAGGTTGTTTAGCCTCTCTTACATATATGAGAAAGAATGGGGTCATTTGTGTGATACTATACTTGGCTGTTTTATAAGCAAATAGGACAGGTTGTATATATAAGTCCCATTCTTTCGAATGTTTTATTAGTTTAGCAAGTGATATACAGATCAACTTATTGAATCTTTCAACTAAGCCATTCATTTGAAGATGATAGGGCATCAAATAATAATGCTTGATTTGGAATTTTGCCAACAGGTTGTCTACTATTATATTTCAAAAATGAAACCTTCTATCTTTGAGGATAAACTTTGAACATCCATGTCTGCAAATTATTTTCTTGTAAATGAAGTTGTCCACTTTCTTAGCTGTGTTGCATTGTATGAGTTAGGCTCTGGCCATTTTGTTAAATAATCAGTCATGACAATAATGTATCTATATAGTTTGGGTATTATAGATAAGGGGCCTACAATATCTATGCCAATTCTACTGAAGAGTGCTCTTACAGGTATGGAATGTAAAGATTCACTTGAATTTTTCCCTCCTTGTTGTTGACATTTTTCACATATTTGTACATATTTATGAATATCTTCATACATTCACAGCCAATAGTAATGGTTTCTGATTTTGTTAAAAATTATTTCTTTATTTAAGTGTGCCTCTAATGGGTGTTTATAGAGTTGAAATAGTATTGGTTCAGTTTCGTGTTTCTAAAGGACCTTTAATAGTCTGTTTTCATCATACTTGCATTTTTTATATAGCATGCTGTCTTTAATACTAAAATATTTACTTTGAAACTCCAGACTTTAATACTGATTCTTGTTATAGTTCAGAGAAACTTGTCTGTATTGGATATAGTTTTTCAAGGTAAGGTACTTTGATGGTTCCATAACATCAAGTTTTCTTTTATTGAAGCCCAATGTTCATTATTCTTGGTACCAATTCTTTATACTTGCCAGGATACCAATGACCTAAACTGGATTGGATTTATTATTGGGTTTGAACCTTGATGAGTATTATGTTTCTTTTTCTTTTCTAAGTTTATGTGCATTCTTGATTTCTTTCTAATCAGAATTTCTTATTTGTCATTAGTCATCTTTTTCGATTTCAATTTTGTATCCAATTAATAGGTATCGAGTTGCTAGTTTATTTGGGAATTTTATATTTTGGTTAGAGCCTCACAACTTGCTCTATCCTATCCTGACCAGCCATACTCTATTGTCAGGTCTATCATAGCTGCAGGTTTTTTTTTTTTTTTTTTAGTAATCCTAGTCCATTTTTGTGTCATCTTCCAGAAGTAGAAGCCACTCAGAGTCTTTCAGGTCGACTCTGATGTTATAGTACATTTTTTTGTTAATGTTAATATTTCACCAACATTTACTATAACCCAAGTGGAAATTATGAGTATAACTCTAGTTATATGTTTCATGGTTACTGTCAAATTTCAGCCCTTCGTCAGTCTATTTTGATGAGTCAATTAAATAATTCTCATTAATAACTATAGAGTTGTTCTCACTATCTTTAGTCCCTCTCATATTATGGTACCAATTTTGGTATGCCCAGGTAATTTCACTATAAAATTCAGTATCCTGTTGTTGGATTATCAGCTCCTGTTGCCTTTTTTGCTCTAAATATTGATTTAGGTTTGCTTCGGTCAACTTTCCATATTCAACTTTACTGTTTTTAAAACCTGGAGTCCAGTCTCTCAAATTGAATTTTTCATTGATTTCTTTTGACTGGTAGTATTCTGCTATTGCTCGAAATATTTCTACTACCTCAATAGCTTTGACAGCTTCCAAAAGGTCTAGAGGATTTGTATTCTGTCTTTTTTCTCTTTTGGACTTATTAACTTCTGGAAAGGATGTCTGCATTATTGTGCCTGCTGTTATAGGTGAAAAATTCATGACAGCTCATGTGTCACGATATGTCACATGAGTTCTGATTGGGACCCAGGATCGAATATGCATGATCGACCTCACAATCAGTAAAACGTGCATAATCGTGCACTCCAACGCCTAAACAATCTCAGCATAATGAATATGACCAAAATAGGATGGCATTTGATCGTGGATGTGGTGTTTCAGAGTGGCGGGATCCAAGTGATAAAAGTGCAGTTTAGTATAGCTATAAAATAAACTAAAAGTAAAACCAATAGAATCAAATACTTACCTGGTTTAGATGAAACCCGCAGTGGTACGATTATATAGTGGCGGAATGATAGGAAAATAGGAAGGAAACCCAAAAACAAATAGAATTTGTTACTAAATGTAAAATGTTATATAAAGCAAACAAAAGTTTAATAAAAAAAATACTAATCTTGGACACCCCAAGTGAGGGGAAAAAGGTTCGAAGTTGTCCTAATAAAACTAATACTCGCCAAATCTTTATTCATGCCTTGAAGCCTTATTTCGCTATTTCATGACATTATGTGAGGTCTTGTCCATTGGAGTGACAGACTTGCCATTTACCTATTGCACTGCATTTAACCCAATATATTATGGTAAAGATATCGAATTGCATCTACATAATCCATCAGTCTCTGCATTCTTTTGGTATGGTATTTTGTAGCCATTTTAATGCAGCATAATCAGCTACTATTATAAATGTTTTATATCTCAGATAGTGGTAGAAATATTCTACTACCCAAATTACAGCATAGCATTCTAGTTCGGTTGCTGCATAGTTTCTCTCTTTCCTGGTTAGACTTTTACTGACATAGGTAATGGCATGTTCTCATTTATCTTGGCTTCATTATGCCAGTACAGCACCAAATCTAACCCCAGAGGTATCTGTATGAAGTTAAAAGGTTTGGAAGAAGTATGGGTACCTTAACATTGAGGCGTTGTTAGATGGGTCTTTAATAGTTAGAAGACTTGTTCTTAGATTTCTCTTCATTCATACTTAGCTTCTTTTTCTAACAGTTTATATAAAGGTTTGGTAATGGTTGTGAATCCTTAGATGAAGCATCAGTAATATAACGTGAGGCTAATGAATCCTCGTAGCTGCTGCAAGTTGATAGGGATCAGAAATTCTTTGACCTTCATTTTCTTTCCTGGATCAGGTTGAATCCTATTTTTTTATATCACATGCTCTAGGAAGTGAATATTAGCTTTAAACATGTTGCACTTCTTAGGATTTAGTTTTAATCCTGCTATCCTAATTTTTGTAAATACCTCCTATATGTAATTTAGATGATCCTGGTAAGTTTTAGAATAAATTATTATATCATCAAAATATACAGCTACACATTAACCTATAAGTTTATTTAATATATGATTCATGGTGCTAAAATGTTGCTGGTGCATTACACAATCTGAATAGCATTACTCTAAAAGCATAAACCCCTTGTCATATAACAAATGCTGTTTTTTTCTGATCCTCAGGTTTTACTTCTATTTGCCAGTAACTACTGGCTAGATCTAGACTAGAAAACCAACTTGCTTGTCCAAAAGTTTCCAACATATCATCAATACATAGAAGAGGGTAAGCATCTTTCTTGGTAACAGCATTGAGCTTGTAATAGTCAATGCAGAGCTGCAGCTTACCTTTTTTTTTTTAGGACTATCACTACTGGGGAAGTCTAGAGGCTTTTAACTTTGTATATTAGCTCATTGGTTAATAACTTATCAATCTTCTTATTCAAAAAGTCTTGTTCATTAGATGCTACTTTGTACACAGCTTGTCTGGTTGGCTTTGCGTCTCCTGTATCTATCTCATGATATACTTTAGCAACATACTCTAGCCAATTTAATCTTGTAGAGAACAGCTCACTAAATTCTTCTAAGATAAGTGCTGCCTCTTCTTTTTGCATATTAGTTAAGAATTCTACTTTTACTAATTTATTTTGTCTGTTTTAGGGGTCAAGTTGAGGTCCTTACACTCTTCAGGAATTAGAAATTCTTCAATAGCCATTAGATATATAGCAGGGCTGTATGTGTTTTTCCAGAAATCAGCATTCACAGGGTCTTCATCTTCATTATTTGTTGTATTATCAGTGCAATAGCTTTTTACTTCTTTAGTTTCTTCTTTTTTATAATTATTGAAAAAGTTATTCTCATCATCTTTATTTAATTTTTGGGATACTACTAAATGATCCTCTTTAGCTTGGTGGATAGGTACTTTTACACTCTTATCTAAATACTATAGAAATAATTTTCCCTCATCAAAATAAAGCTGGGCACAAACCTTCTAAAACCAATCCATTTCTAGAAGCATCACTTCTTTAGGGTTTTCAATAACCTGAAAGCTGGTGGGTATTATTACACTTCTAACTGCCATTTTCATGTTTGGTATTTTTCCTAGAGCTTGTTCTTGAGTGCCATTTGCAATTACAACTATCATGTTAAAGGGTTTGGTAATCTTAAGGTTAAGTTTTCTACTAATTTCTTTAAAATAATACTCACTGCAGCCTCAGAATCCAAAACTACTAAAATTGGATTATTTTGTATCCAGACATAATATTTAGCAACTATAGATTTCTTATTGTATTTATTGTTAGTGATATTTGATTCTTCAGTTGCTGAAATTAAGGGTCTTCACAATGCTTGGGCAAGATTTTGTCATTGTCTTGGAATTTGTAGCATTTGGGCATATGTGGTGTTGGCTTGTTAACTTAAAAGGTCTTTTGCAACATTATACTTAGGTGCCAAATTGACTATAAAAGGTCCTCTTCTCCTTCTTAGTACAGCTGGTTGAGACATTATTGGAGTTTGTTCATCGGAAGTTATCTCTATTGGGATAGGCTGACTTTGTTATGCAAGTTTGATTGAATTTCTTGATTCTGGTGTTGATCATAAGTGACTTTTTTTCTTAATCACTCTTCCCAACTGTGTTCTGCCTTAGGTACTTTACATTGTTTAATAGCATAAATCTCTTCTTCAGGTTTGGGGAGGTAAATATCACATATATTAACATTTCTATATTGGGGTCTATTTCTATCTAGGCTTGTAAAGGGTCTTCTTGGATTATGACTTTGGTCAGAAAGCAATTTCGAGCAATATGTCCTCTTTACTACAGTTAAAGTACTCAATTCCTCTATTTGTTGGTTGCCAGAGTTGATACTGTCTTTTTTGTAGTTGATAGGGGCTGATTTTGGCTCTAACAGCAAGTGTGATTGTTAATTTTTCATAATTGATAGCCATCTGTTGCATTTTTTGGGTTAGGTTGTTAATAAGTTGGCCGGTAGGTTTATGCTCATTTTTCTATGCTTATAATAATTTTCAGCTTCTATCTTTCTTGCTGCAGTAATTGCTTCTTCCAGTGTTTCAGGGTCATTAATAGACATTAGTATGGCTGTTTTTTCATGAAAATCTCCTAAAAATATTCTAACTATATAGATATTGAATAAGTCTTTGTCTGGATCAACTCTTTTTAGTAATTTTTTAAATTTATAGGCATATTTATCAACTTTTTCATTTTCTTACTAAGCTAGAGAGTTTAGTTCGATCTGCTACTGATGTTTATGCTTTGGGGTCATGAAATACTTGTGAATAATTGAACAAAGCTATGATAGAGATTGTTCTCATCATCTCAGAACAAAAAGTCATCTTGTTTGTCATTGTATCAACAGGCTGCAATTCCAGATAAATGATCTGACACAATTTTTATTTTCTTTCTCAAAAACTAGTTATTTGCATCCACAGCCCTTTTGAAGGCCTTAACCTATTTAACAGAGTCTTTATTTTCTTCTCCTTAAAACATTTTTACATGAACCCAGTTGTTCTTGCATTCATTGGGCCAAACAGTATGCATTGCGACTTTTCTAAATACTTGAGCTATTTTCTGAAGAAGAAGAGTGGTCTGGGTGAGATGTTGTTGATTGTTATATTCATCCCTATTAACAGTTTGATCATTTTCAAATTGATCTTTAACTGACATTCTTATATTATCTTTATAACATGATTAGTGTTGTATATCTTTTGAAATTTACTACTATGATAGATATTGTGATAAAATTTTTAGTTTGATTTCACAGTCACTACCAATTTGTGATAGTGTAATCTGGTTTTGTTACAAGCACCAATCTATTAAGGGTTACTTCTACTTAAAATCCAGTTACAGAACTACTGAATCTAATAGATCTTTGTACACCTCTCTTGCTACACTTTAATTGGTAGGTGTTGATTAAGGTGTGGATTGGTTTGGTCCAAGAATAGGGTGGTTTCAATTACTGCAGTTTTATGGAGTCAATATTCTGAATTGACCTTACTTTTTATACTTGATTTCTTAATGATACTAAGGCTTTTTTCTACTATTCAATTTTCTCTTTCAATGGCTACTATATTAGCTTCTCTACTGTTCTAGTGCATCTGAGTTCTAACTGACTATCAGATTGCAAATTTCAGAGTCACATGTCACAGAATCATGATTCAGAATGATTACGTATATAAGTTTATTTAACAATAGGCTCAATCACCAACTTAATCAGTTTATTAATTCTGTATAAAAAAGGTTGATTACTAACAAGATCTTTTTTTTTACTTTAGCGAATTATCGATAATGGGTTTTTACTAATCATGAAGACAAGATAAATATGATAACACAAAGGCTATAAGCATATAGGATACTTAAGGAACTACTACTATTATTACTTTCGTAGTTTTGAACTCAAGAGAGGAGTTATCTTTATTTTTGTATAAAACTTTGAGTCTTTAAATTGATTTTCATTTTATAGAACTTTACTGACATATCTGCTTTTTTCACTATTACTATCATTACTACTAGTACTTATACAACTACTATTACTGTCATTATTAGCAGATCTGGCAGTTTTGGTAGTTTGTAGTTATTTTTGGCTAGATCAACCTGAACCACTTCATTAATGATCTTTGATGAATTTTCTCTCTTACAATGTTCAAGACTGGCTAGATTAAGCTTTCTGTCAAGAACCTAGGCATTGTAAGGCCCTTGGTTGAAGTACTGGAAATAGAATTTTTTTTTTTTCTCTGAATAATTATATTTATTTTTTTTATTCATTATATTAGTTAGATATTAATACTTTATTTATATATATATTTATATCGAACACTTATTTTAAAAAAAAAAAAAAAAAAAAAAAGAGGTGTGGCAACCTAGTGAAGTGGTCAGGTTGTCAACCCCCCAAGTGGTAAGTTGGGTGTTCAAATCTCATCAACAGTGAAAATTTGGATAATCACCTATGTAATATTTGTATTATGGCAATTGTTACTAACGATTAGGTTAGGAAATCTGTAATAGTAGTTGTATTAGCATGACTGGCAGGTTATGGGGGATCTGTATAAGTATGGCATAACACAAAGGAATACAAACCAACAAATCGGGTGGTGCAAACACTAGATAAGTTCTTGTGGTTATGTAAATCTATTGAAAATAGATAACAATAAGTCCATTTAAGAAGATCTGAGTAGAGAGGTAGCTAGATCTTTGACGGCCCTACTGTAAAGTCTAGCTCAAAAAAACGGATAACAAGGTTATAGTACCTGATCGTAGTAGTCAGACGGGCAAAAACCTTCAGGTTGAGAGTCTCAGAAGTACTACCAACTAGGCCACTAGAATGAACTGAAGGAAAAGAATATCAGGCCAACCTGATATACTGAAGAACTGGTCATAGTCCTACATGGGCTATCTGGATTGGAAGTTTGGTAAAAAGGCTGGACAAAAGGCAGAGGTATACTAAAGTACTGGGGTTATATTGTGAAATAGATGCTAGAGTCTAAGTGAACTCTACAAGGGCATAGCAGTTTAATGGTTAGCCCTGACTGCAAGTGTTGGTTCTACTATAGTGATACCTAGGTCAGCTGTAAAAATGGGTACAGAAGGCTCTGAAAGGTTTACCTTAAAGATAAATTAGTTCTAAGGTTAAGAATGATGATCTGGTACATTTAAGATGACCAGTAATGTTAACACAGGTTACAGGTTCAAAGGGTTTAAAGTGAAACATCCAAGCAGAGGTGTTAGATATAGCAATTGGTGGGGAACCTTTGGGCAGACTCCTTAAATAGGTAATATAGAAAAGTTACATGTGTAGCCAATTGTATGCTCTCCTGTAATGGTTCATTAAACCACAATACTGATAAGTGATTAATAAAAGTCAAAAGACCAAAGAGGTCAACTTAATGCCAAAAAAAAAAAAAAAAATTTTTTTTATTATTATTTAGCTTCGAAATAACAACTGTTATAAAAATATTTTTGCAAGAATTAACTAAAACAGAATCAGCTGATGTTATTGTCAAACTTCCTCCTTATGACTATAAGAATAAAACAAGCACAAAAGTTTATCTAACTTATCAAGCTCCAAGAAATATAGCTAGGCTAAAAACCATAATAATGGGTGTTTGAAAACTCTTACCTATGTTTACTATTTAGAAGAACTTTTAAAAACAAAACCAAAACCTTCAGCTCAACAAATAATGCTAGCAAACAGGTTAACCAAGCATTATGAACTAGCCTTGACAAGAGTCTATAAAATCATCTTTCGATATGGAATAGAAACCATCTATAGAACTAAATTCTTGAACTTAACAAACTTTAGAAAATTAACTTTTATCGACCTTGCCTTTTTTTGCTAAGTTCTTATAAAATTCGAAAATAATTCTGAGAGAATGTTAACCTACAAAAACAATCATAACTCTTGAATCACTAAACAGAATTTAATAAAACCACTACTATTCGAATCAGCTCACAGAGATGGTTCTAATAAGGTATAGATCATTCATTTCTGATTACAGGATCCCAAGATCGAATCCAATAACCAAATTAATAAGAAAGCTGTGATCTGATTGGTTAAATGATTACTGTGCAAAATGTCATACATATCAAACATATAACATTTATATGATTTGAAGCACATATATTTTATATTATATTTAGTTTACATATATTATTTAGTTTATTTTTTTTATTTATTTTATTAATAGTAGTTGTAAAATATCTTGTATATATAAAAGATATAGATTGTTACATTTACTATATAGCCAAAAGTATAAAAGTGACAGATGTGGACCCCAAGTTTAACATCGAGTCTTCATACTCTTTTACTAATAAACTACTAGTTTATACTATCCAAATTAAACAGTTATTAGTATCCTCATATACTTTTAATTGTAGCCTCTTTTGTAATTATAAATTGTCTTAAATCTTTTTTGTTAAGTTTTCTAAAATAAAATGTTTTCTGACTTAGTTATAACACAGTAACAAGTAAGGTTACAAAAAGTGTTCACTGTCTAAGGTTACTCTAGTTACTTACTATCTTAAAAGAAGTAGATATAGAATAACAGAATTATCTTACAAAAATTGAATCAGATGAAATCTTTAATCAAGAACATGTTTAATGTAATTACTACTATTAAGTCTTACAAAAAATATGTAGAAATTTATTATTTTGATTGGTCAACAGCAATAATTAAAAATTTAGATAAAATTATTCAAATTTTATAAAAAAATTATGACTAACATTAAGTGAAATTAATTAGTTTCATATGTGATATTAAAGAAACTGCAATTTGTTCATCTTTAGATACTATATATTTTGGTAAAATTATATATATTATAAATTTGTAAAATATAATTTTCAATTCTAAGTGAAATATTTTCTTAGATTAATCTTACTTTTATATAGATCCAAATCTTAAACAAATGTGGACTAAAATTTTATTGATCACAGCTGTTAGCCAATCAAAATTAAGGTTCAACCTAGATTTAATGAATCTTATATAAAATTTTTTAAAAATTGTAATTTGCTTATTTTTAACAAACACTATTTTAGTCATAAAAAATTATATTTTTTATTATAATTTATTTTCAAAAATGACTCTTTATAAAAGAATCAATAGTATTTATAATCTGAATATTGGTTTAAATTTTAATGCTTGAGTCTAAAAACCTATTAATAAAATAAATATTTGACTGCTTTATAGGCAAAAATTTATCTTATTAGCTAATAAATTTATATTATTTATGCAATTTAGAATACTTTTTAAAAAAATAAAAACCAGTTATAATAAATTAAAAAGAAAAGTATTGTTATTCTATATCTATTTCTTTTAAAGTAGTCAGTAACTAGAGCAACCTTAGACAGTGAACACTTTTTGTAATCTCACTTGTTACTGTGTTATAACTAAGTTAAAAGATATATTTTTTAGAAAACTTAATAAAGGAGATTTAAGGCAATTTGCAATTATAAAAAAAACTACAATTAAAAATATATGAAGATACTAATAACTTTTAGTTTAGGTAATATAAAGTAATAGTTTATTAGTAAAAGAGTATGAAGACTCAATATTAAATTTGAGGTTCACATTAACTATTTTATACTTTTTGGCTATATAGTATATGTAACAGCCTATATTTTTTATATATATAAGATATTTTACAACTACTATTAATAAAATAAATAAAATATGTTTGATATATAAAATAAATAAAATAAATAAACTAAATAATATATATAAACTAAATATAATATAAAATATATATATTTCAAAATGTATAAATGTTATATAAGTTATATGTATAATATTTTACACAGTAATCATTCAACCAATCAGATTACAGTTTTTTTATTAATTTGGTTATTGGATTCGATTTTGTGATCTTGTGATCAGAAATGGATGATCTATATCTTATTAGAACCATCCCAGTAAGCTGATTTAAATGATAGTGGTTTCATTGAATTCTGTCTAGTAGTTTAAGAGTTATGGTCATTTTTGTAAGTTAACACTATATAGAAATTTTTATTAAAGTTGTAAAATTTTATAATCAAAAATAAGATCTAATTCTTGTTTGATTAAAAAAATTAACCTATTAATAAGTTGATTTTATTAAGTTTTAAGAAGTATTACTATATTAAAATTTTAAACAGATAATAATTAGATCTTATTTTTATTTATGAAGTCTTATAG